GAGGCAATATTATGTGTTTTTAAGAGTATATATTTACACGATAACAACGTTAACCAGGATCATAGCACCCGCACGGGAAACATTTTGTATCCAACCCACAGACTAACACTGTCTGAAAAGAGTCCGTACTATTTGGGTATAAAATTCTTTAATAAACTAGAAAACAACATTAAAAAAGTAATAATTGAAAAATTGTTTAAGAATAAATTAAAGCAGATGTTAATTGAGTTAGAGCCTTATAGTATTAGAGACTATTTAAATATGTAACAACAGTACCTGTTAGTATATGTCCTTTGTCAATTGTTTCTTAACGCCATTTCATTTTGTATTCTTTATACATGTGCATGTATCAATCGAATGTAATTTGAAATAAAGAAATAAATTAAAAAAAGGGATGTTACCTTTCGAAAGAGCCGCTGGCTGCCGCCACCAGCGCAAGTGGGGTAGTAGATGTAGATGTTGTGGTCCTCGGCCGATACCGGCTTTTCCACAAACGGCTTGTTGAACACGGTGCCATTCACTTCGACATGATCTTCGGATTCTACGAGTTCATGATCTAGAAACAGATGAAACACTTCATTCTTTGATTGGGCGGTTCTCGATTGACAACGTGCTGAAATGTACCTTTCGGGTCTGGACTGTCTCGATCCAAGACGGCATACCGAGGGATTTCAATTCCTTCAGCGTCCAGTGTGGCGTACACTTTCCTCCTGTCCTGAATATCGTACTGCATGTGCAGATTGTTGATCACGTAGGGATTGTGTAGCTGAGCATACTGAATGGCCTTGTCTAATGGAAACCCCTTGGAGTGAAACGAGATGAGACAGTCGCAAACAGGCCATTCTTCCACCGGCTTCTGAAGAATGCAGTCTTCTTGGAAGACGATCACCTTGATGTATTCGAATTCCTGCAGCCTGGTGAGGATTTCCTTCATTGGTTTGCTCTGGGTCTTTTTCTCCATGGCGCAGACGCCCACCACAACCATCTTGCCCTCGTCGTCCATGTCTTGAGGCTCCGCCCCTGAGCTGCCGGGGTCGCATAGCTCCAAGTCGCCCTGAAAACACACACACTAGTGTACATGGGGGGGAAAGTGGTGCAGTTCTTAAGGGCAGGGAAACCGATGTCTGAAAGAACACTATCTCTCTATTGTTAATTGAATATTTACATATTCATTGAAGCATTCGTCACAGTAGCAAAATGAGTCGGAAGAGTCGGCGTCCACGTCGCTCGCCCTGCGATATTTGCGCCACTTTTTCAACCGCCACCAGTCTTTGAAATGCGACCAATCCATATTGGAAGTTGACACCTGTCACACGTTTGTTGAAGAACGCCACTGGGATCAGTGGAGATAGGAGGGTGGAAATTCCAGTGGTGCGCGTCGCAATTTGGACTTAGTATCGGTCACATGCTAAAAAGCGCACTGGGCTGCGATCACGACCCAACTATTTGCCTGCCCGGGGCCAAGCTGTTGATAATAAGGAGATAAACAATCTAGACAAATATTGAATATTCAAGATTCGGTCATGGAAAATAATAGCTGCGATAGAATCAGGGGCGACGATGATAATGCGAATTGTACACAGTAAATTAGCTTTTGGAGATAAGAATTGATTTATTATAGTGCGAAAGTTTCCAGTGTTGCACTCTAGGATTGCCCAACATTCGTTAGAATCTCTTAAAAAACCACACAACAAACTCCCGAGGTTGTTATAGTAAGGACAACGACTGCATGCAATTTCATACTGATTAGTGGACAATTCACAGAGTCAAACCCAACAGCAAACAATGGAAATAGTACCATGTGCCAATAGGCGGGCGCCAGACAGGGATTGTCCACATCCTGAATAATCACTGAAGGGATGGGCATGGTCCGGACAGTGCCAAAAGTGACGCAAGAAAGGTGCCTCTTAACGTGGTAAAAGGGTGCAACTTACTGCGCCTACATAGAATTGTGCTGGTCTGTATGCCGCATTACGGAGACCTTGGTAGCCCTGTTCCAGTTCGGTGTAGGACATGATACCAGGGGGACATGCTAGGCCTGCCACACGCCCTTTCCTTCAATTTATTGCGTTTGGATGCCAAAGCTGTTGAGCAGGTCAAGGTACGAGTATTGATTGCCAAGTTTTCGCAAAACCAGACGACATTCAAGCGGCAGCAACTGTGTTTGATCCAGAACTATGCGGCGCTTAGTATAGCAGCACTTCGGCGGAAAATAGCTATTTTTTTTTAAATATTTTGGATAAATTCAATCGCGAATCAAATCCAATATTGTGGTTAGTGTCTTTATTAGAGGTTAGAGGTTAGAGCTGACACTTGGAAGTCCACAACGTTGCCAATCAGTTTTAATATCAACTGAATTTTTCCAACCACCGCAAATCTACAAAGTGTGTTTGTGCGGTTGTTTGATTTTCGGTTAGTGGACGGTAAACGCTCTTTAATTTGAATCGATATATTTAATAGAGAGTTATTGGACATGCTAAATACTGTCATGCAGTACTAATGTTATTCCTTATTTTAATACTGCATTTGCGATATTTCTGTAACTAAATGATAGTTATTGGAATGTCTAGTTCACTCCTTTCAGTATCAGGCTGAGGAAAGAGAATATTTTTATTTAGAACAAATGTCCGATGAGTATAACTATGTCTTGAAGTGCATACTATTCAAGGCTTAGTGGAG